TTGTCCAGTCATTCACCTACTACTTATTGTCAAATATATATATATATATATATATATATAGCTATTGATATTGATATTCCTACACAGACACATACGTGCACACTTATCTATTTTGTCTTTCATTCCTTCTGACCCGGAAGCACACGGATCGCGATCGTCATTTTCCACCTCTACCCGTTCTTCAACAAGTCTGGCTCGGGAAAAGGATCGTCTTACGGAGGCTCTGAACACCTGTCTGGCCTCAACCGCGTCCTTTTTGCGTGATTTGTTCGGAGAATTTCATGCACATTTCGCAAAACATCTGTTAGGTTCCCAAGGTCAAGTGCTGCTCAATACTGCCGCATCCACACTACGTGAGAGTCAGTCAGTGATTGAGTTGGTCATGATGTTATGCTCCCAGGTCAGTGTGTGTTGCCTGCGGGCGCCCACCAATCGTGTATCGCAAGTCACATCCACTTGTCTGCTTTTCTTGTGAAGTATTTTGTCATGTTTAGATGAAATGCTGTGGCTCAGAAAATCATTCATTTGTATACATTGTGTTGCGAAACTGTATTAAGTAGATTTGTCTACGAAGTGTAGTCAACAGTGGTGCTCGTACACTTGCTTGATTTCTTTACGGCATTGGCCTGCATTATCTGTTTTGACCTCGATAATGTTTACAACATTCCCTCGACTCATTCATCCAAATGGATAGCCTGAAGGCCGCAACGAAGTGGTAGGTTTGATGCAAACAAATCTCATCATCTTCAGTTTGATTATTCTACTATTTGTCTGCACTGTGATGCGTCATTATTTAATGGGGGGATGACTGTTTGCTTGATCCTTCCCGTTCTGGACACAATATGATCTTTGTTTTTGAATATTTTAACGTCTAATCACCATGCACGTTCTTGTGTTTTTTTGGTCGATCAAGAAAAGTATAACGTTTAGCGCTCCTTTCCTCTCACTCAGAGGTTTATTCCCCTTTCTATCTTTCACTTGGATTCCTGGTGTAGGAATGGCAGAGTTCTTTGCAAAAGAATGCCGGTCTAGCATTCATTGAGCTTATCAACGAGGGTCGTGTGATGTGTCGGGCCACACAGGAGCACATTGTTCGCGTCACTCAGGAGGCGATTGTTTTGCTCAATCGGCTATCTGCTGATAGTGTGCAACGACACGCGCTGTTTGGTCAATTGGCCGCACAAATCGCCTCCCAGAAACGGGATGATGATCGGGGTTGTGATCAGTTGATCGAGGCTGCTCGACGNACTTTGCCCACTCGACTGTCGTATCTAACCGGCGAACCGCCAGAGTACGTGTGACGCAATCGTTTCGGGAACTTTAGTGTTTCGTTTTGACTGATCGATCACTGCTGTTCTCGTCCTCTCTCCAATTGTTTCATTCTTTTGCTTCTTTCCATCTTTATTGTAGAATTATAATAATGACACAACAAACTAGCTTCCCGCATCAGTAGCCCAAAACAGCTCAACGTTGTGACTGAAAACAGCTATCGGTCCAATGTCACCTGGATGTGGAATACAGACATCGCTGTGTAGATTTCATTGCTTTGATACATTTCAAAAAGCCAGGTAGCCGAGAGTAAAACGCAGTATGGTAATATACAAAGTTTTATGGCTCTGTAGACACATCCGGTGTCTTCATACAAAATGGACACATTTTTCAGGGCTTATCCACGCAGAGCTTAGTGTTCACTAAAGTCCACTTCATATGACGGCAGGTCAGCATCAGAAACACAATCTCCATGGGTGCTGGTGATTAAGATGGTTTATTCACGTAACTTATAGTAGCATTTCCAGATTATCGTGATGTCCGTATTGTTCCTCATTCACAAGTAAGTGGGAGGGGAGGTACGTGGCAAGTGGTAGTTGAAAATAGTCCAACATCCACCAAACTGTGAACATATTGTTTCGAATTCGTGGTCAAGTATAGGTTGCACCAAGCCACAATTGAAACTAAAGATAGTTTCTGATGTTTACATCTCCCTATCCATCACCCACAAAAGTACCTGATAGCATGCATGGCGGCTTGTTGTCGAGGTCATGATTCACTCCAATTAGCGAAGATATTTCTTTATAATCATATTTAATCATCAAACTAGACAGTTACAAGGTGCTATCATTATGTTCCCTATAGAATTTTATGCAAACTAACGGTGGTTGTTGGTGTCCTGTTAATGTTCTTTTTCATTGCATATGCATTTTTACTGAGCTGTGATAGTGCTTGAACACCCTAGTCATCGCAAAAGCTCAACTTGGCAAACTCGTCCTCGGGTCTTTTGACTGAAGGGCCTCATTGACAGGGCATCCGGTCGTCGCTCGGAGTCCATCATACGAACAAGGCTCGCCACTTCTATCCCAACCCATCCATATTGCTCGGTTCATCCTATCGCCCTCACCAATCATTTGACCGTAAATCCACGGGTTGCAGAGGATAGTTTATACTAAAAACGTGGAGAGCATCGAGTAGTCAGGTTCTGTATGTTTTCATTTGAGTCAAAAATTATGAAAACTATTACTAAGATGGACGAGATTAGTTGCATGCTACGAGCTTCTGAAAATCTGCTACCCTTTATCTGTTGTGATATAGGAAGTTCAAATAGGGGTTTCTAAATCCAATCCGCTTGACTTGAATATCCACTAGTAAACGCCTTAGATATTTTGACGTCTTGTCCTATGTATTATGTCCTTTAATAATCCCTCAGCCACCCACCTTGATTTCTTTATTAATAATCTGGTTATCTTGACAATAAATCTGTTTATCGTTTTTACCAACGGCCAACATGATGACGCAGCACAAGGGTATTCGATGGAATGTTGTGCATTTCCTTCTTCGAAGATGGGCCTGAGTGGCATCCCGATGCCGGTGTCGGTTTGCATTCCGGATTGATAGAAATAGTCAAGTTAGGCTGTCTCAACTCGGATTCCATGTACCAACACAACACCGGGTTTGTTCCTCTGGGGATATCTCGTTATATATTTTATTAATATCCCAAGTATATTTGAGGTTTTAGCTCCCGTAATGAAGTCTTTTGTTGTCGATGATGCTTTCATGCCATATTTGAAAAGTTTGTGTGATTTTTGCCGTTCGATTCGCTCTCTGGAATGAACTTGAATTGCGCTGATTTCGCTCTGGTTTTGTTTTAATGCGCACGCCACATACAGCTGCTCCAAACTGCGCGCAATGCTTCCCAGTCATGCCTCAGTTTACTCTCCACTGACGTTTGTGTACCCAGTGGTGTTGGCGGCGTGTCTCACCCATTCATATATTTGTCACCGTACAAACATAGCCACAGATGTACGAATTCATTGAACTCAGAATTCTTTCTATCCATAGTCCGGAGAAATGTGCCCTGCATTTTCGAACCTGTGTTGAATTAGTTATGCTGATTGCGCGCAAGATTTCGGGTCAGTTCATTTATCGATCGTGCGCGGTGAAATTGCGAAGCCGATCGAGAAAACAAACTCGTATGGTTGAGATGACTTCTGGACACCATTGTGGTCTAATCGATTGTCTAAAGTATGGACAAAAAGAAATGGAGCTATTGGTGCATTCGACAAAACTTGTATTTTATCTTGCAATCTGAACAATATCTTCGCCTAAACGAAAATAAAATAGGGCACAGTGCAATGGAGAACCCAAAAATTAGCAAACCTTATGCATCCCGAAGGGAGGCCTCACCTAGTTCAACAACATCAAATAACAATCCATAGGGGTTCGCATTAAGGTAAATATGTTGTTAAGTTGAGCTACAGCAGAATTGATAGCTACCATCAAAAATGCACTAGTAGGATTCGGACTTGTAACTTGTTTTATCCGATACCCATATATCCTTCAAAACATTGGATCCCGTTTGTCCAGTCCGTTAGAAAAAAATTAACAAAAATACTGTCAGATGCTAACATTTCTCTTTATTCGCTGAGCCGTTCCAGTGTAAAACAACCGCCTAATCATAGAAGACACTTACATCGGTAAAACGAATCAGACCCTGTCTCAACGTATGTCCGAACACACTTAATGGCGCAGCACAATATCTGAGGTTAGTCATCTGTCACAAAATCTCTTGACAATTGGGTACATCATCGACCCATTTTTATCGTTCAAGCCGTTGTTACGTAACACTAATCCCAAGCTGTTAGCTTTCAGCGAAATGATCTTAATCAAGTTACGCTACCGAATTTTGTGTGCACAAAAGTTTCGGACGCAATCAGTCAAGTTACCATGGGACCGATTCGGAACTGATTGCTTTCCCTCCCCTGATTGCTAAACCAAAACCTTGTTTAAGTGAAAGGTTGTTTTATGCTGTAGCGACTGGGAAATGTTGACATCTCACAGTATTCTTATTCGCTCTGTTCTAATGTCCCTTGGAGAAAATTGACTTTAAGCTTTTATCGTTCTGTTACTTACATGATTCTTTTGATACACTCAATTTACAGTAAAGGGGGTAAACCCCGTAATCAATGACATACTGCACGGGAAAGGTATGTGGGGGAACAATCAAGTGAGAACCGATTTGCTAGTCCTGTTTTCGAAAGGAGTAGGACTATAAGAGTTTGGAAATAAGAAATTTCCGATCTTGGGGAAAATATTGGAAGATAGAGGTTAGATATCTTTACAAAGAATCCTGATCAAGGTGACTGTCCACCTGAGAACGAGATGGATGAAAAAAGGTCGAGGAGAGTTTAGAAGAACAGAAACCAAAGTACTAACGATACAAAACAGATAACGTAGCAACTGCCCGGCGTTGGGAAAGCGCCTGCAAATTGGAAGTAATAGTTGTTTGAGGAGAGAAGGAGCTTAATACGAAGCTTCACTCCATTCGTGTCTACAATATTCAAGACTCGGGCGAATGTCGGCTTTGTAGGCTTCGTCTGAAGAGTGCTTCAACCATTCCTTGTTGTGAACATACAGTGGTCATCTGGCTGTTGGGATCTGCCGCCATTGGGTGTCTCAATGGTGGAAGACAGAATATCAAAGACGGATCATGGCCCTATAAGCTGGAATTCATGGTTGGATAAATCAAGGTGCGAAAGTCGAGAAGACGCAACAGAATAATGGATATAGGGACAGGCGCCGGCTACAAGAAGAATGGAGGAAGTAACTGGGTAACTGTAGATGCGTAATGTCTGATTTGAGAGAGATTTGTTTCTCGGTCAAAAATAAAGCCAAGATTAGAGAAAGTTGTGTATAGAATTAATGGTTCGATTCAAACTGCGGATGTAAGTGATGGCAAAAGAGTGGTGTGAGTTGGCAAATAAAATTGTATTGTTCATTAGCAGTGTGAGAGAAAACCGGCAACCCAACCCTCAGACTTGGAGTAATAAACCTCTTTAGGCTTAGCATGATAGTGAGTGGGGTGACAACATGACTGTTTACAACCAGTAGGTAACAACCATACTACTAATTTTCTAAGCACTCTTTCAAATGTGTCAATGTTTCTAGGGCCATCCACATTTCATGTGCAACACAATCTTTGAAGAATTCGCCTGTCCCAATGGGGGTTTCAGTGCTTGGGTTTCCGAGTGTCATTACCTAAACAATACCCCCTCGACTAAAGGGTTCTTACTTAACAAAACCATTCACCTTAACATTTGTAATAAAAGGACGATAGATATCTTGAAAAAATTACGCATCATGGAATTTCTACGGTTGAGTTCGCCTTATTGAACCAAGTTATTTGAGGTCAAACAGAAGTTTAAAAAAAAACACCCGCGGGATCTCAACCTGCAATGACTTCATTGTTCTGGCTTGAATTTTCTGTGCGTTGTTGTTACGCTTATTAAAATGGCAGAGAAGGATTGTGATTCTCGGGGATTAACCTCATCAGAAATCGTTGTAGTGATAACCGGTTTGTTTCCTTGAAAACTGGAGTCTATACCTTTTCAACTTCAAGTGAGTCCAACCAATCGTATTCCACTGGGAACCCCAGAAGATTATTGGTGTTTCGGCTGTCAAACGTGACCGATTGAACCGGGTTTGTCTAAACCCCAGTCCGAATGAACTAATTTCAATAATTTCAATAAACAAACAAAAGTACTTTTCGAGTGGGTTACCGAGCTAGGATGAAAGTTTCGGTGAGGTAAGGTGNTCCCCCCCCCCCCCACACACCTGTTCCAGCCGGGAACGTTGTGTTCGTGATCGTTGATCGAATGTGCGTCATAGATAGACATAGGTAGACATACGGAGGTTCTCTGACCTTTGAATTGATACTCCTCATTTCTCGTTTATTGGAACATACGGACGGACCTTTGAAAAACAGATTGTACCCATTTCTACACAAATGGTATTGGCCATGAAATTTCACGCTCCACTGAGCATATGTTACATCAGGCCCGCGTTTGAAGTCTCACTATTCGCCATAGGGGTTCACGTGTTTAGTATGGGCATTAACCAAACACTAGCTCTTTGTCCGTAGATCAAATTTGTTCCTTATTATTATAATATTGGGTGTGCTTTATTACACGAGTCATTAAACCATGTTAAGAGGCAATCCAAAAATTGACTAGTAAGAAGTATGCCTTATGCAAACTTCCTGATTTCATTTTAACCTACCCGCTTGTTTCCAATGGGATGACACATCCAATAGATGTGTCATTTTGTTCTCTCATCACGGAAACGTATCGCTCAGTCAATGGTCGTAACCGCGTAGACCAATGCATACCCCATGTTTTGATTCATCTCTTTGACACCTTTCAATCAGTCTTGTTACCTCATTCCGTTCTTTGTATTCATGATGTTTGAAGTGGTATACCAGTGATTGGAACAACAACAACACCTATGTGTGATTATCATGGCTGATACGTCGTTATTGTTTGAATTCAAGATAAGAAAGATCACACTGGTTAAGGGATTTGCACATGCGGTCGCAAGTATGTCTGTGATGCGTCGAGCCTAACTGATTAGAATCCTATATCGTCAGATTCGAGATCAGCTGATCAGCAGAAAGGTCTTTACACTGATGTCTGTAGGACCAATCCTATCCTATCGAAAAAGACACGTGGTCCTCTGTGTTTGTGATCGTCTCTCTTGATTGGTTTGTCTCATTTGAGCGGTCCGTGGCATCTGATACACATGGTCCCTAATGATCATAAGTCTTTCTGATATACGAGTACCCTGTTTTAATCATGTCTTATGTGTGGAGCTTCGATGTCTTTTGGTCGCTACTCATCGACACTTATCGTCCCCTACGAGGTGTGCTGGCTTCATCTCCATTTCATCCCATTCCTGTCACATTCAGTGCCAAATCTGCCACAACGTCAGATTTCTATCGCTTGGATTGTTGGGAAGACGATAGCCGTCGAAGACGTCGATTCTCCCCAAATCCCTATGGAAGCACTCATGCCAATGCCGTGCTGTTTGATCCAGACGAGCAGATGGCTGCGCGAAAATGTTTGGCTGATGCTCGTCTTTCGGAGGCAGGTTGTTCAATTCCGTTGGAAAGTGTACTACTCCCGAACGAGGCCAATGGTACATCTAATTGGGCTGATGGCCAGACAGCATCAGCATTACCCATGCCCACACGACAAGATTCGAACAGTCCTTCCAAAAACTCAACTGCGGCAGACGATAGCCGTGTTCCTGAATTAGAGGATTTTCTGGCTCAGTATGAGGATGGAATCGAGTTAACTCTGTCTAGTATGACTTCGGAAGGTACGTTCATCAAACTATCACGTATGTTATTGCGTTCTTATAAAGCTGTCATTCTGCTGAATGTATACATCTAACTTTGAATGCATACAAACTGACACGTAAACATCTTTCTGGATAGATATGCTTTCTGAGTGGGCCTGAATTGCTATTCATTCTTTGGCTTCAAAACATCATACTGCCAGAGAAGATGGCCTAATCTGAGTTGATTTTCTGCAAGCTGCCAGCCATTGCTGAGGCGATTGGCGCTCGTCTTTTCGCGACCGAACTGGACGCACGGAAGTTAATGGTTTAGGCCCTCCATTTACTCTAGACCCAACTTGTTCACTAACATGTCCATCAGTATCACTCCAACCACAATCTTTCATCCAGACACAGATGCACTTCCTACTCCTTACGGCCCTCCTCTGTTCCTATGAACTTTCTGACCAAGCGGGTAAATCTGTCCCTTTATGAATAGCTCAAGCAGGCTTACGCAACAACGAAACCAATTGTTCATCTTCAAACATGTATTCTCGTGATGAAAATTAGTCGAGATAAATTATAAAATTATCTGAAGTGTTTAATGCTGTCAGGCAATTTGATTCCCGTTGAAAAAACAAAACCCCAAGATAATTTGCTTGGTTTGAGTCGAGTGACTACATAGCTGTCCACCAACGATGTGAAAAGATAGGGTTCAAACCACAGATCAGTACTTGTACCGTTCGACCTTCAGTCGGACTACCCAATGGGCGGGCGCTAAAACTCCGAAATCATTCACATCTATCGAAATTTGCATTTAATGAGCAAAATAAGAATCTGTTTGATAGCGCGCTTTACTTGCTTCAAAATACTGATCCTCTAATCAAAAATGTTCGTTTGGACTGGAACTTATGCATATGCATACGGAATTGGCCCCTCGAGCATGTATTCGTTTCACACATACACGCTGTTGCTAGTCCAGAAGTATCGAGGCAGTTTCTGCCTTTCGAGCTTCATGATGTTTGCTTTGCTCGCTTAAGTGAATCGGTAAGAGTAGCAATTGCATATGTAACCCCATGCTTCCGTCACGTGATTTTCTTTTTTCCTTTTTCGCCTTCAGATGCAGTTCGTTTTTCCGTTCCATGTGTAATGGTTTCCCTCGGGGTGGGGATTCATGGCACGCTCACTCTCTACAAATCCGCGTTTCAATTCGAACGGGACCCGACACATCCGGTCAATCGAGCATTGGATAAAAAGGTGAGCTCCATTTCGGCGTGTGCTACGAAACTTCGATCCTATTCCAACACCACCAGCGTCAATCGTCCAATACATCTTTCCTGTCGTACCAATGAGTGTCATTATTATAGCACTGTGCCATTATCTCTCATTCACCATCATTTCGCACCTGCTATTTACGTCACTTGATCGTAGTCACGTGACCACTCTTGATATGACGATGACGTACTCGAAAATGCTACAAAACCTCTTGGAATGGGGCACATTGTGTTGTATCCCCGTGATTCATTTGTCTGCCGTAAAGCCATTCGTGTTTGTACTCAACTGGGTTAGCACAAGCAGCCAATGTATGTGCCTCACCATTGCTCACGTGTTACATTCCTCAAAGAGGAGTTCGGTTGATCACATCCATTCAAGGTTTGTACGTAAGGTATTAGAGTTTTCAACCATTCACAAACGTGATTAAAAGGAGATAGCCGGGTACTAGCTGACGTCAGAAACGTTTTTGGTATGGGTACAAATAAGTGCCCGGTTAGCAAAAGGATTGTTTGACAACTAGGACATAATAATCTCCCTGGATATGTACGAGTAAGGGGAAGAAATTTGAATTGGGATAGGCTACGCGAAATCCACGTGACTGTGATGAGTTCATTATGTAAACCACTCTATGTCGCAAAATAATTTTTAACATACTTACTAAACCTGTGGTTGTTGATAGCAGTTTATCCAAGAGATTAACTTCTCCTGATTCAGGATAGTAGAACCGACGCAGAAGCAACAATTTTTTAACGCCAAAATCGTAGTGTAATTGTTGACGAGTAGAATGTAGTGATATGACTGATGATGAGTCACTCGCAATGGAATTACTAAGCTCGGTCTACCAACTGGACATAGAGACTATAATCCAAAATACTGTGAAAGCTGGATTTGACGCGGAGAATAATTCAAGCCGGAGTGAAAATGAGCGAATTCAGGAAATTGATAGGGATGAAAAATGTCATGCATCGCCAATAATTAGGCTGAATTAGTTTGCATCTTGACATCAACGACTTTTTGGTTGAGTGGGAATTCTTCGATATCCAGCGTTTGAATAGAAACTATTTACTAAATGTTTGATAAATCTTCTTGGTGGAAGCCTACAACGGCGGGGCCTTTGAAATTAGCCGTCATTTTTTGTTATCGCTGGAGCTTTGGTTTTTTCAGTACACACAACTGGATATATTTTTGTATCCATTACGGTGACCTCAATGATAACCTACAACGCGCTCAGTTTAATTCCCGTACGAGAATCTGTGGGATATATCAACGAACCGTCCTTATCGTTTTGTGAGAAATAAAGTGAAAAGGATCACCAAAAATGCGCATTGCAAACGAAAAAAAACATCACGCTGGCTGGAAAGTTGCCTTTGAGCACCGAAACCTGAAGAGCATTGGTTTTCCGGTCACTTTGTCGTCGAACGTCTGCTCAATTCTTTTTAACTATCGGACATCGGTCTTCTGA